GCCGAGGGCGAGGTAGTCAAAGACCTCACAGCACCAACGCCAGACATTACTGCCGCCGTACTTGCGCTGGCACTCGTCGTAAAAGCCGTAGACCTGGGTTATTTGGCGGGACTCGTGGTTGCCTCGGATGAGGGTCATGCGCTCGGGGTAGCGGACCTTGAGGGCAAGGAGGAGTAGGAAGGTCTCGACGCTGTAGAAACCACGGTCAACAAAGTCGCCTGCGAACACCATTAACGTCGGTCGGCGAATCGGGCAGCGGACAAACCCATAAACAAATAATTTGTTGTTGGACAAAAACCGCCGACGGAAAAGAGCTCCATGAGGTCGAAGAACTGGCCATGGATGTCGCCGCAGATCTAGAAGAGTTCATGCAGAGCTCTGCACCAGAGAGGATAGTAATACCGTGACTGGAGAGTCAATGTGTTGGACGTTGGCTTCCTCGATGAGAATTTCGCGGGCTTTCAAGCATAACCGCTTGACCTGCTCCTCGGATATGGGCTCGCAGCGCTTGAGCTGCTCGATCTGCCTGCGAAATAAAAACAAAGGAAGGATAAAGACAGGAACGCGTACTCGTCGAGGTCGCTGCCAGTCATGGGAGTAATCAAGAGGACGCGCTGTGGACGCGTGTTTGGAATCCACGCCTTAGCCTCAGCTGCAACCCTTTCCTCCTCAAGGCGTAGGTGAGGACTATGGCTTGCATACGCCCCCCATGCCTGCTAATTTTCAGCGTGCAAGGCCCAGGAATTCACGACCCCGACGCCGCCGCATGGACCCGCCGCCGACTGTGGTGAACGGCAACGGTGTCGAGCACACCCAGCAACAGCAACCACCAGGAGTTCCCTTTGACGCAGACGTATTTCGCGTGTATTTACGGGCATTGTTGCCCCCGGTCATCGGTGTACCACCGGACGACGTCGAGAGCCTCTTTGACGACACCTTTGACGACCGCGTCGCAAAGTTTGCGTCTGAGCCAGGTGCAGTCTTGTATGCGGTAAAGTCTAAGTACAGTGGAGACGATGCAGAAGAAGGTGCGTATTTCGTTGTTTCGTTCCTTCTGTGGCCATGACTTTGCGCAGACGAGGTCTCGTACGAGTATTCGCTGACCGCACAACTCACCTACCACCCCTCGCATGTCACCACCCTCGCCCTCATCAAACGCAGCCCCATTATTGACCCCTCCGCCCCGCTCGCAACCCAGCTCCACTTCCTCAACCTCTTTGGTGGCGACGAAACACCGTATGAGAGTCTCCATGCCGTCGTCTCGTACGGCGTCAAGCCTTGGTTCGACGCCTTTGTCGGCTCCCGGAGCGCAGGCAGAGATTCGGGTGACAGTAAAATGGGCATCCCTATGACGAAGAAAAAGTTTGCAGAGCTCGAGCTATCCCTGCTGCACCTCCAACAGAACGTCGAGATTCCAGAAACAATTCTCGTTATACACCCCAATATTCAACGTGCGGTCGAGCAGGTGCGTGGTTTCCTCGTAATCAAATAGCATTCACGAACTTTTCACAGGCCCAGGCAGCCGGCACACGCCCCAACATCAACGACCTTCCCCAGAAACTCCTTAATGACAGTACCTTCCTCAACTCCCTCCACGCCAACGTCAACTCGTGGATTAAATCCATCCAGGCCGTCACCAAACTCACCCGCGATGTTACCTCTGGCACAGCTTCTCAAGAGATAAACTTCTGGCTCAGTCTTGAGCGCGAGCTCGAGGGCATCGAGGCGCAGCTCCGGAGCGAAGAAGTCAACATGGTTATGGACTGCCTGCGCAATGCCAAGCGCTTCCGCGCCACCGTCAGCTTCCTCGCCGACACGGGGCTCAAGGACGCGACAGACCTTGTGCACAAGTACAACCAGCTCATGAAGGACTTTCCCCTCAACGAGCTGCTGTCGGCGACGGACCTAAGCAAGATACAAGAGTCTATCACGCTCATTTTCGGGCACATTAATCGCAGGCTCAGGTTGTCGCCGTACCCCATTCGACGCGCGCTCCCGCTCGTCGAAGCCATATCGCGCGACTTCAACGACCAGCTGTTGCGCATACTCACCTCACATCGCCTGCCATACACCCCGTACGAGACATTCGATAGGCTCCTCGGGCAGGTGACGGCGATCTTCCGCACATGGGACGACCTTATCAAGGAGTTCACCAATGTCGCTCGTGAGGTGACGCGGAAGCGGTCGGAGAAGTTTATACCCATCAAGGTGGTGAATGCGCATGCGAAGCTGGAGGAGCGCACGCGGTACCTGCGCGACTGGCGGAAGCAGCACGAACAGCTGGCGGTGATGACGGGACCAACACGCGGTGTGGGCGGGGGTGTGCTAGATATGGGGATTGGGGGGATGGACATGGAGGAGGAGGTCAAGGAGGCTTATGAGATCGTCAAGCGGATTGATGTGCTCGATGTATCGGTGGAGGGGACGGAGATTTGGGTGGCTGCAGAGAATGCGTATAACGAGCGCGTGGCGCGGGTGGAGAACCAGATTATTGCGCGGTTAAGAGACCGGCTTGGGACCGCGAGGAATGCGAATGAGATGTTCAGGGTGTTTTCTAAGTTTAATTCGCTGTTTGTTCGGCCAAAGGTGGGGATTGTTTTTTTGTCTTCAAGTCGATTTTGACCACCACTTAGATTCGCGGAGCGATCCAAGAGTACCAGACGCAGCTCATCGACTCGGTCAAGGAGGACATCAAGCATCTGCACGACAAGGTGCGTCCTTTCCCTGCTCTCTCATCTCGCTCCTAACGATATGCAGTTCAAAACTCGTTTCCGCGACTCGGAAGCGTCACACATGTCGCAGATGCGCGACCTGCCCGCCATCACTTCCGCCATTATTTGGGCGCGGCAAATCGAGCGTCAGCTCCTCACGTACATGAAGCGCGTCGAGGATGTGCTGGGTAGAGGCTGGGAGCTCTACGCCGAGGGGCAGAAGCTCCAGTCCGAGAGCAGCGCGTTCCGGAAGAAGCTCGATACGCGACCCGTCTACGATGCGTGGCTGCACGATATCAATCGTCGTAACATGGGCGTCGACGGACGGCTCTTCGAGATTATCCGGCCAAGGGGCGCGGCGGGCAGTGGTGGAGGCGCCGGAATTTTCCAGCTGGCAGTAAATTTCGACCCGCAGATTATCACTTTGTTCAAGGAGGTGCGGAATCTGCTGTGGCTGGGGTTCCAAGTCCCGCATGCCATTACCAATATGGCGAAGGATGCGAAGAGGGTGTATCCGCATGCGGTGAGCTTGATGGAGACCGTCAGGACGTATGGCCAAACGCTAGATTTGGTGGAGGAGAATAAGGCGATTGAGTGGCTAGTGGCGGAGTACCGGAACGATTCGCAGAGGATGATCGCCAAGGGTGGGTGCTCAGGTTTCTCTTGTCGTTTGTGTGCTTATAGGCATGACCGCAGGGATGAACATCAAATGGGATTATTTCGTGAACCAGTACGACTCCACGGCGCGGTACGTGTCGAGCGCGGACGGACGGGATAACCGGCACATACAATTTGTGCGCGAGTTTGCGAGCATCATTTCCGTGCTGCAGGTGCGTTTATCCTCCCCGCGAGATTATATATCATTATAACATGGTCACCACTTGCTTTAGGACAAGACGAATAACGTCATTGACTTGTACAAGGACATCTTGCGTGCTATCGAGGACCTCGCGACGTGCTCATACACGACCGAGGCCTTCTCGGAGCTGCTGGGGAAGGTGCAGTCCGCGATCGACCGGCTTAATCTGGAAGGCTACGCGAACCTGGAGCAGTGGGTCGCCGAGCTAGATCGGAGGATCGAGGGTATTCTGCTGCAGCGGTTGGCGCAGATCGTGCAGGTGTGGTGCGGGGAGTTTGATCGCGCGGCAGAGGACGGCGATACAACTACTACAGGCGGCGGTCGGGGTGCTGGTGAGCGGGCGGCGCTGAGGGATATTACGAACAAGCGGAGGGGGGATAAGCGCGGGGTGAAAGAGGAGAAGGTAGACCCACCTTGCTGTCTAAGCTGATCGTGGCTAACCATCTTTGTTACAGTTCTTGGAGGCGAACATGACGCTGAAGCCGGTGGTGCATGAAATCCGGATACAGAACCAAGTCATCTTTTTGGACCCGCCGATAGAGTATGCGCGCGCGAACTGGATACGGCAGCTGCATGATTGGCTGGGCGTCGTGTGTCGCCTGCGGCGGATACAGAGCTCGCGATATGAGATTGGGCTGCAAATGCAGGGGATCAGCGTGGCGGAGACGAACTACACTGCACTGGTGAGCAGTTTTCTTCCGTTTCTTCCACCATAAACCTGACAAAACTAGCTAACCCAATTACCGGACGCGGTTCTACAACGCCCGTTCGCACTAATCGAGCTCAAGGTGCAGCAGCTGACCGAGTACGTGGCCAAGTGGCTGCAGTTCCAGTCTCTGTGGGATCTGGAGGCGGAATACGTGTTCAACCGGCTCGGTGACTCGCTGCAGAACTGGCAGCAACTGCTGACAGAGATCAAGAAGACGCGGTCGACATTCGACACGTCGGACACCCAAAAGTCGTTTGGAGTGTGCATCATTGACTATGAGCAGGTGCAGGCGAAAGTGAACGCCAAGTACGATGCATGGCAGCGGGATATCCTGAGTCGTTTCGGGGTAAAACTTGGGAATGCGATGAAGGAGATGCATGCGGCGATCCTCAAGGCTCGTAATGAGTTGGAGCACCAGAGGATTTAGACACTCGTTCATGTTTTGCTCTCGTTTTCGTGGATATGTATTTTTTCTAGTAATGATCTAATTCTTCGAGTTTTCTTGCTCCCTCCAATATCAATGTCATGTCAGGCCATTGTTTCGCATTCCGGTCCAAGCGGGTCGAGACGTTTTCGAGCACAAATTGCTGGGGTCAGCCTGGGAATACATAGAGGTCGACGATTTCGAGCAAAAAAAAGTGAAACACCGTGTTGCACGAGCTGAATGCGTAGTGTGTTTCCCGCGGAAGCGGGGCCGAAGCCCGGGTCCCGGCCGCCCGAGTGCCACCTGAAGGATTCGAACCTCCAACCACCCGCTTATTGTTTATGTTTTTTTTTTGCGGGGTGCTTTTACCACTGTACCATAGTGGACACAGAATGAGATTTTGTTTTGTTCACTAAGTGGTGTCGACGTCCTGACGGAGAAGAGTGCGAAACACAGCCTGAAAGCGTTGTCACTGAGTTCGCGCAGGTTCGTGTAGTTTTCTGTCCTTCCGTCTCAGCGACACACGCCGACGCGATCAATGGAAACAAAGGGTTAATTAAATCTCCATGGGGCGGGAGAAGGTGCCGCGTCAGTGGCAGTGCGATTCCATCAATCACCCCGCTTGCCCCGCACACCCATGGCGCCCGAGCCCTTGAGCGACTATATCGCCACAAGTGACTGAAATCTTGGGAGTCTGCCTGACGTTGCCGATGCGCAATGTCCCCCGTGTTTTCCTACGACCAACTTGCAAGCACGGCGGGCAAAAGGCACGGACGAGGAGGAGGCAAAGCTTGTGTCGGAACGCAGCGTTTGTTGTCGGAAAGGCGCCGACATATTTCCCATTTGTACGTTTTTCCTTCTAGTGGACGATCTGGCCGGAAAACCGAGTGGCTTTGCCAAGGTCACCCGTGGCATTCTTTTCCCTTCAACTTTTAGGACTGAACCGGAATCGATTGGACTTGGCCGCGCGTTCCCAATTTCTGGCTCAGGCTTCGCGCCCAAACCTCTCTTCACGACCTCCTTGGTTGACAACTTAGCCTCACTTTATTTGTCTATGCCATTCTACCTAGATTATAGCCATTCCCTCTCGCGCTTGCGCCCACTTACCCTAACCACTAATTAGAGAGTTCTGAAGGCGATCAAGCCGGGAATTGATACTAAACCCGACCCCGTGCGCTGCGCGCGACTATGTCGCCGGAGAGGTAACCTGCTTGGCGTTGCCGATGCACAATGGCCCCCGTGTTTTCCGACGACCAACTTGCAAGCACTGGCAGAACTTGGCGCGTGTTAAAGTAGCACTCAGTGCATACTTACTGGAAAGTCACCTCGGTCTCTTGCCACCTCGGTCTCTTGCCTCGCTATGCCTTATTGAATATACCAGCATGGTGGCTCAGACAAATAGGGGTGGGAACATGTCACAACGTGACATGCCGTGTTCTCGTTTTCAACCTCTCCCTTGCCTTCCACGCGTCCGCGATCCCTCTTGCTCTCCTTGCACTTTCGCCGCTTACTTTTCCGAAATACTCAAACCTTCAAGGCCCCTGCATTATTGCAGGCAATGACCGCATGGGACTTATCGTGACCTCGAGGCACCTAACTCTTATGCTTGATTCACCGGACACGGAGTTCTCGGCCTCCAAAGGATCTGTTAATCTTGACAGCTTAAATTCATCTCATTGAACCTCAGCAACTGCCTAGGGAACAACGGGGTTTCCGGCAAACCAAACAAATGCCATGAATTACCGCCCCAATCCCTGCCACGTACACCAACCAACTCTACCGCGGAATGCAGGAGCATAATCGCGGGAGAAGGCTCTCGAGAGGTTACGAAGCCGGCGAAAGAGCTACGTGAAGCAAGCATCGGCCCTTGTTTTCCGTTCCCCGAGCAGAAACAACGAATCCGTATTGCACACACGTCGGTTTTCGCTGCGCGCACAGGTTTACGGATCATCATTCTGTCGACCTCCCAGCGCCTTACCCGTATCTTCGACTCTCGTGCTCTCCCACTCCCAATTTTCTTTCTGGTTAGCTTCCATCCTTCAGAAACTCCCTCCGACTCGGAATCGCCGAAGCAAATACACGTAAACCAGCTAGTATCCGGACAACAGACTCCGACACACCTGGTGCCAACATAAATACTCGCACTCCACTTGAAAGCGCCCACGCATATATACTCCAACGGCCCCGGGCTATAATTAAACACCCCCGCATCTCTTGTCTTGCCTCCCTCTCCCCTCGAACATCGATGACCACGGTGTCTCAAACGGTTCCCTCGATTCCCAGTGACATCTCAGACACGTCTGTATTCTGTTCATCTGTTCATCTCGTCACGCTCAACCTAAACAAAAATCAGGATACGAACGAATGTGAGTCAAAGGTACTTCTCCGAGTTCAAGCATTTGAGCTGTATAGTTCGTGGGCTTTGCGAGCTTCACTATCCTAGTATGGGACCATGTCATTACCTTTTCCGACGAGGTCTGTATCGATTTCAGCCGCACGTCCATGCCTCAATGACGAACATCCTCGCAGGTGGAGTTAATCTGGAAGGGGAACAAAGGCCCTAGTACGCATTTACATTGCTCTCCGACTATTTCCATTCTCATTAAATTACAGTCATCTATCTATTCCTCTTTGTGCGTCGCATTCGCGTTGGAACTACTTTTGCACGTGAGCAAGACTCATTTTCCTCCAGAATCGATATTTCACGCCTCTGGGCTTCATAATAAATCTGTTTGGTAAGGACACCTTATAGCAGACGAGGACAGTGCTTTACGTGTTTATAGCATACCTTTCGCCGACCTGGACATTCGAGGTAGGCATGCGCCAACATCCGTACTCGTCGGTTCTAAAAGGCTGTACCAATCACTTATCCTCCACATAGAGGTTCGTAATCTCTCATGACTCCACAAATAACTGACACGGTTTAGGTGTACACATTTCGTTCGCTATGAAGGTGTAACCGTTGCCATCGCTGTTGAGGTGGTCGGCGCTATGATGCTTTTAAGGTGAAAACGCAATGAAACCCGCCAGGAAGTCGCTCATGACTTATCTTTCAGAATCAACGCGTTATACCCCACTCGGAAGTGGATCACCGCCTTACTCGGTGTCCTCCTCGCTGTGGAGACTGGTATAAATGCCTGGTTGATTAGTCGGGGAGAACGTACGACACTTTGATCGCATTCATTATTATGGTTATTCAATTCCAACGATCTCCAGCGGTTCTTCATAATAGGGCCTCCGGCGTTCACGGTACTGCGTGCCTCTCTCCTGTAATCAACGACTTATACTTTGATAGCCTGCTCCATGGTTTTTGACCCTGTAATGCACGAATCTTTTTCTTCATCAACCGCCCAGATACTGATCCAGCGCATTCGAGCAGAAGTAGTGCAGCCAGCGCTTCAGCGTGGTACCCCCTGATGTACGACAGCATCGTGTTCGCCCTCACAGTTAACCGCACACTTCCTTCCATCCGCAAGAAAGAGGCCGGTTTCATCGTGAAGAAGCTTTTAGAAGACGGATTACTGTACTACAGGTATATTAGTCTTTTCAGTTTCACCGGCATTCCTAATCCTTTACAAAGTGTTATTTTCTCCATTACATTTGTCCTGACGTTCATGATCGCCGGTTAGTGGACGAGCCAATGGTCTCTCTTATTTTCAGCTGACCCTCAGCCAGGAGCCCCACCTGGAACCAAGAACATATGCGCCCAGTACGTGACCAAGCTTATACGCCTATCTCCAACTAACGACTCATTCGTAGAATGGAACAGTTGTAAGTCGCTGAACGGGTTTCACATCATATCTATTGACGTGTTGGTCGTATTCCGTGTTCAGAATCACTGTGTGTACATTGCTTGCTTTTCTGGTGGCGGTAACTAACTTCAAGCAGGTCGCAATGATGTCCCGCATCACTCTCAGCCTTAAAAAAGCCGGCCGCCAAGGAGAGATTATCCCCGCTCCGTTTCTTTTCGATACGAGGAACCCCGACCTCTTTTCGGATACCTTTATCCATTCCGTTGGAGACGCTCTAGACGACCTGCCGCCACAGGATCTCAAATCGCTCAAGCGGCCAGATCGGCTGATCCTAGACCATGTCCGGAATCCGATACAATTCGCCATACCATCTCCACAGCCGTCGCAAATGTCCGAACCATTTGGGTTCCCGGATTCCAGACTTTCTTCACCTCTGCGACAAGTCTAATTGCTGAGGTTTGAAGTGCTAAAATAAAAATCCCATAATAATGCAATCAAGCGTTTATAATTTCAGTCAACATATTCATTCGTCCGAAGCTTTTTTGGGGGCAGAATCAACGATCTTTACCTTTCGGCCACAACGAACGCGCTCCGCGCCTACCCATTTCGAGGCTGTTGAACCCGCGGAGTCTGGTTGACGATGAAGTTGACGTTCCAGTTCTCATCAGCAGCAACACCGTTATAATTCTTTGATACTAACACTGATTCAACTCTGCATTCTCCAGTTCTGCGTGGCGAAGCTGATGGACACATCGAGCCTCCAGGTAACCAATGTCTTGACAGATGTAAACGACCAACATCGGCTTCCCCCCGAGGGCTATTTCAGGCATTGGACGCGGTCCACTCACTATATGGTCTCCGTCGGAGTTAATTGTGCTGGACATGCTCGTACCCACTTTTCTCGTTCTATTTGCGAGCGCAGTCTCTGCAGATTTTCATTTTTTATCCTGCACCTCAATAGGCCCTTCCGCGAATGCCATCCCAACGAATCCGACAATCGCTGTACCGTGCGTGAGCCTGGCCGAGTTCCCTCGTCCATTTTTGACAAAGGTTATACAAGCAGAACCAGCGATTTGGGGACATGCGCCGGAATGTTAGGGCCGAACATGGTCGTGCTTCAAAATCTTACTGGACCGATAAACCAAGCTGGCAAGTTCAGCATCGACAATTTTTGCGGAGCGCCAAGACTCGATGTCTATGTGAAATCATCCGACGCGTTGCAAATGTATTATTCGGGAGGGGACGGAACCTTGGTGAGCCAACGCTGAGATAACTAAAATTTTACCGGTTCTGAAATGGTAAGAAGATTGGGGCATGTACTTCTAGTACCCTTGAAGGGAATGGGGTACCAGCACAATTTAGTTGCAACTCAGAAACTCTGTCGCTCAATTGCACCGATAGGTTTGCCCTTGAATATCTCGATTCAGAGTATCGTCTGACAGAACAAACTCCCAGTTATTTCTGCTTTTCAGGGGTCTGTGAAACGCCACGGTGAGATCATTATGCACATATTCCGGTGCACGAAAGTGAACTCTAGTTTCAGCGCAGATAGCACCACCGTGGCTCTGACACCATTAGCGTCCAGCAGTGCGCCCAGCAGTGCGAGTGCAGTGTCGTTCGTTCCACCGACAGAA